GCAGAGCTGGATAAACCTACAGCGACAGAAGCAGCGCGAGGACTCTGGTTTACAATGAGGAGACTCCTACTCATTCTTAGAAAGTTAAAAGCTTAGTTATCCATCACCAAACGTCAATAGAAGGAAAGAGATGGGAAAGATGGAAGAGTGAGGCAGATACAATTTCCAGGATATATTAACTCCAATAGCCAATCATCCAAGCATTATCTAACTTTAGCTCCACAACCTTGGCAAAAATCACACAAGTAAAAACATCACAAAAGGCTAAAAAAAAATATCTACTTATAATTAAGAAACTTAGTGTCATTTACCCCCCTCGTTAACCTGAAACTAACCATTTTATCCCACCACAAATATAATGTTTAAATAACAAATATGTATCTAAATTAGAATTCCAGTGATTGTTTTAAAACTTAAAAATCATAGGGTGCTTTTTATACCCATTATAAGGAAAACATCTTTTAGCTTCTGCAGGAAGATGATAATACTATTTTTCATTATAATTATATAGGATATTTTAGAAAACTCAAAATATTTTCGAAATAGTAAAGTCTCTGATATCCCTGGGAGGTAGGTGAATATTATTATACCCAACTGTCTAATGGGTAATCTGAGGCACGAAGGTTAAATGATATTCCCCCTAGACATAGTAATTCAGAGTGACTCTCGGGCTTGAGCTCTGGCCACCTGATGAGTTTTCTGCTGTCAGGCGCCACTCTCAGGAGCCTCCGCTTTCTCCTTTTTTAGCTACTGGTCTCCTCTTCCCAACTGAAATTTATTCAACAGGGGGGCACTTACTAAATCTGTTTGTAGTGGATTTCGAGGACTGGGTTCAACTTAAGTTATCCTTAACATGTCGCATCTACTTCTTTTCAGTAAGAACCAATGAATCTTAAGATGTTGAAAATTATGTTACTTTGCTCAAGGAAGAAACCTAAATAACCATACAATCTGATTAAGCCAAACATAATTACTTGGCAGATAAAATGAAAACTGAAGATCTCTCAAGAATGCTATAGATCACATAAGTGTTTTCCTCAGCTTCTGAAGTCTATTTCTCGGTGTATTAACCTTACAACAGATATGCAGCTATGTGTTACTTCGAAAATCATTTCAGAAAGAAAAATATGCCACATTCTGAATGGTGGCAAAGTTGCTAGCTTCCTTCAAAACGTATTCAGAGCCCACACCGTGGTTCTAGCCCAGCTCCCCAGTGTGGTTAGTCCTGCCTCCCACAGCACACCTCATCGATCTGACCTGAAAGATACTTCTATTATTCCAATGCTTTCTCCATATACTATGCCAAGTTTGAAGGGCACAAGATTACATCCAGGAATAGCCAAGAGTCCACTACACTTACTTTACTGGTAATAACCAACATATGCATATGCATATAAATATTTGTGTGTGTACACATATATATATACACATGCATGTACACACATACATGCATGTATATAAATGTACATATACACACACATATACATATATATTTATGTAAAGGGAAAAGATAGCATCTTATTGAAAAGTCTACTTCCCAATCCGCCCACTGTAATCAACTAAAAGCAATGGAATAAACAAGGCCAAAGTTGAAGTTTTGCAAACATCATAGGGGGAGTGTTCAGAAGGGATGCAATGGTACAGCAGCTACTTGTTTTTTATATATATATATATTTATATGCATGTATGTATCTTACACATATATCCATATAAGAAAGGAGCATTATAGCATGACTTGATGTTGGCAAGCTCGAGATTCTTCCTCCTGAACCCCCTGACATATAAGTCTGTACACTTGAGGATATCTGAGAACAGTTTTGAAAGAGGGGAAAAAAGAAAGAAAAAAAGGCACTTAACAAAGATGAAGGCCTGAATTGCGCGTGTTTTAGAGGAGTAATATAAGCATCTTACCAGAGTTAAGAAATGATTTACAGAGTTCATCTTTTCCCCTTAAAATGTGATAAACTAAAATTGCATAACAAGTTTGTTATCAGTGCGTATCTACTACTGCACTTTTCTTCTGCTTCATTATTATAAAGACAAAAGCCTTCCAAAAGCAAACAACAAAAACAGAAACAAAACAATCATACATGCGCAAGAGAAAGTAAAAGTGCCCCTTTGAGAACACCAGGTCAGCAGAGACGACAGTGCTGAAGCACAGGGGAAGTTCCCAAGTTTGGCCTGATCATAGATTTTTCTCATTCTTCCATTTCAACTTAAAAACAAAACAAAACCAACGGACAAAAAAGGCAAACACAAACTCAAAACCTAAATGATAAAAACAATACAGGGACCAGTGTGCTTTTATGGTACACTCCTAAAATAAAATATCCTAATTCTACACATGGGTCAAATTATATGACAAAACCTCCTAGAAATAAAGAATTGTAAATTAAAGTCAACCAATACAGGCAAAGTTCATTTTACAAATGTAGCAGCAAATATGAAAGATAACTAGAGTTTTAAGAGATGATCCCAAAGGACACAGAGTTCTCATAACCAATGGCAGTTTTGAATAACAGTAGAATTTTCATTTCAGAAAATGTCTTGAACCAAGTAGAGACGGAAAGGGGTGTGGGGGAGGGCAACCAGAAGAAAAACTAGAGGTGCCTGTCCTTTCCAACCCTGTGTAGTAAACAACTTAGATCTGCTTTGGGAAAAAAAATATTCTGGGTTAAAAATCATTTCCAATAAGTTATTTTCAAACAGGTGTCAAACCCACAGTATTCAAATATGTACGTGCCCAGATTTTCCCCTCACCTTGGTGATCCAAAATTAACCCTTAACGTCAATGACACTTTTAAAAAATGTGTAATTTGGGCTAACAACATCCATCAAAGGGGTGGTGGGCATGAAAGAATGTACTAACACAATCCTCTAACTTCCTCAAATTACAGGACTTTGTAACTTCAGATTCATCTCACTTCCTTTCTCCAAACCATTCTCTTCAGGCTGTTTTAAAAATCATGATTTCTATTACTCTCTCATCTCAGAAGCACATGAGAAAGAATTTTAACTGACGTATCATGGAAATTATTGCTTACATTGATTTCGAAGGCTCCGAATGAGCTTGACACTTTGCTCCCAAACAGTCTCCAACCACGGTTCAGCGCTATCTCGGAGGACAGCTCTGCCGACCATTATTGCTTGTGAATACTGAGGATTAACTTGTATGTACAGTAACAGCTTATATATCATGAAGGCAGTTTAAAATATAAGACAGTTGAAAACAGCTTTATCTTCCTGAATCAAGAATCCCAAGTAGTGGGACGAAGTTAAGTGTGCTGATTAGTTTTTTTTTTTTGCATTTGGATGTTGCTAACGCTCTTCAGAAATACACATCACTCTATAGATATCTTTACCAATTACTCACCCTCTTAAAAAATAACATAATTTGATTTTTAAGTGCAAAAATACAGTATGAGTCACAAGTCTCTGTGCTGAAAAATAACCAATTTATATGCTTGTTTTTTAGTGATAAAAACTGTTAAGACAGGTGACCATAAAGAACAGACACCATTTTCAATGTTATGATCTAGAAAAGAAATAGGTTTGTATTTACATGTAGAAACTTTCTGATCGCACTTTGATATGTGAGGCAACATAAAGATGTTGGACTCATTTATACAACATAAAAGGGGGAGGTGGGGTCTTTACTGAAATGGATATACGTTGGTCAGTGAAAATGGGAGAAAGGTTTGAGGTGGGACCTGACAGTAGTCCTCAGGAAGTCAAGACTGAAGAGAATGGAATACAAATCTCCTGGGACCAGCAGATGGTGTAATGGCTGTGTCACTAGACTCCCACGTAGTTGACTGCGGTTCGAGTCCCAGATCCAGTGACTTAAATTCATGCCAGGTGCACGCGCGCACGCGTGTGTGTCCAATATCCCAAGAGGAGAATGGAGGAGAAGGGATTGCAGTGTGGCCATCCCCCCCCTGCGGGGGGCAGTTCACTTTCTGTCTCTCTCTGTCTTCCTGGCGAGTACACGCGCCCTATAGCAAAAACCTCTCAAAAAAAAAAAAAAAAAAATCTCCATAGTGTATTATCAGAGCTAAGGGCCTTTAGATATTTTTACTTAGTATAAAATGATACTGGGGGAAAGAATCAATAAGTCTGTTCTTTTCTAATGACAACGGACTCATCAGTGACCTGCATATGGCATGATTCAGAATTAATGTATTTAAGAAATTAAATCTATTCTTTTTTGACTTAAACTAAGAATGAATATGTATGTGTGGCACAGACACATACAGATGAATGTATGTAAAATTACTAGCAGGAAGAGATGACTATGCATTCTGACTTCTCTTCTGGTATGGGAAATAAAACAAAGTCTATCTTCTCAAAGTTAAAACTCTTATCACTTACCCAGACAGTATTAGCAAAGACTTCTGTTCCCTTTCTCCCCAAAATCTAATGAAAGCAAGAGGTCCACTACACTGGAATAAATCAAGACTGGGTAAGCATCCCTGATTAAAAAAACAAACAAACCTTTACCGAACACACTGAATTCAAGTCAAGTCTCTCTCTAACATCCCGGTATCCCTCCAAAATATCTACTGAGTTCACAAAATATCCCTATTTGCTTTACTGGTAAACTAAATTCTTCAGAGTCAATAATTATGTCAATGTTTCCTTTGAAATAATCCTTTCCCCTATTATAAAACATTCTTGGAACTAAAATTTTCAGTTACTTCTTTACTTTTTTTGCTATTAAACCAAGCCAATATGACTTTGAAGTCAAAATATAGGCACACAGATCTGAACAGATCCGTGGTTATTTATTCACAGTCCTTTAGGCTTGAGACTTGTTTATAAAAGAAAAAAAGAACCTGGTTAATACTCTTTATCTGAATGAATTTAATGATAATGTGTAATGAAAACATCTCGCTACTTCCACTCTAATGCTGTTTTTCTTTTTAAAAAATATTTATTTAATTCCATTTGTTATTATTATTACTAATATTTTTTAATTTGACCAGAGACACACAGAGAGAGAGAAAGCAAGCTGCCATGTCTGGGACTTGAACTGCAGCTGGCCATGTGGGAACCCAACACCTTTCACCACCACGCTACCTGCCAGCCCCTTTAATGCTGTTTTATAGGTCTATCACTATAAATGAACCAAGCTTATACCATTTAGTGGCTAAACTTGGGTAAAGGATGAAAATATTCAGAACTTAAAATACAAAAGACATTAGAATAATGATGAAAAAAATTCAAAGAAAATGTATTCAAAGAAAACGAAAACATTTTCCCTTAACATCCTTTCTTGAATATGCTATTTGCATAAGCAGCTATAATAGCTAAGGAATCTTGTTTTCTGAGGTTTACTCATGTATCAATTCTCTGAGTAAATACTAGTAAAGCTTTTAAGATCCCAAATGCTCCGGATAATTCCATTACACTGGATATAGAGGGTAAAAATACACTGTGATTGCTATGAAAGATAATCACTTGTACACATAATGAGCCTAGTTCAACTCCTCCCTTTAAAATACCTTCTTAAAAATTCAAAAGTTAGACAGATATATGCCATCTGAATGACCAATAAACACAGATAGGTCCTGTTGATATGAAGAGCTAACCTGAAGCTCCGTTAGCAAAAGGAACAAAAGGAGATGCGAGAGGAGGGGACGTGGGGAGAGTTACACTCCGTACTGGCAGGCCTGCGAGGGTCGAGAGCAACAGAGCAGCAGCCCTGCGTCAAAGATCCCTGTTTCTCCAGAGAAAACTGTGAACACCGTCACATTTTAACATCAAGAATGGAAACAGCTGACCAGTCAATACCAGATGTACAAACCATCTGAGGAAGAGAGTTAAGGACCTGCTTCTGAAATGGAAGATGAAACGGACCCTTTTACAAAAAGGGGATATTTAGGTTTCATCTGTTAAGAGCAACAGGCTCGATTTCCTGACTTATAAAAATCTAGATGATTTCATAATATATACCACTGTGCTAAAATAACGTTCTTGAAGTGTCTTGAGTCCACTGATTTACATGGGAGTTTACACACACTGGAGAAGATTCAAGTTTGCTCAGGATTTTTGAGGGTACAGTATCTCTTCAGCTACCATCTGTATCAGATGTGGGGTCATTCAACTTTTTTGTGTGCCAAACTTGCTACATAGTCTACTCACACAGACATGACCTTACTCCTGACAAACTGGCCCACTTCTAGGTATACTGCCTTTTATTACGCAATTATGTCTACAAGTGTTCAGATCCAACCCCCAGGATGGATGGAGTTTACCCAAATCCTCTCAACCTCCTTCCTCCTCCCCGGGGAAAAATCAAATTTGTACTTCTGTGGGTTTGACAACTGAGCCTCTTTCAAGTCAGTTAACATGGTAACTTTGTCTTTCTTTACAAGAGACCAAAGGTCACTAACTTTGCACAAAAGTATTTCTTCCTCCTGCACCTGACTTTGCTCAAGTAATGTTTTCTTGTCTTTTTCCTCCTCACCACAGTGCTTGGGACGAGAGAATGTAAACATCGACAGAAACAGCAGCCCTATGACCACACAAGTACTTTCCCATCAGGTAGATTCCATCAGCCAACTAAACAGTTCGTCTCCTTTGCTTGCTGGGAAGTCACTGAGATTTCCGCGGTAACTTAGTGTCCCCTTTACTTTGGCCTCCATCTGGAAAAAAAGATGTTACATTGGTATGTGTTGTCATATTATAAAAAGCAAAGTAAAACAAAGTAGAAAGAACAATGAATTTTTATGTGAATGACAGCTGTAAAAGACAACCTTTCATATTTCACAGGCTGTATAGCATTGCAGAGGAAGATCACGTATTAGCGAGATAAAAACCAACAGCAGAGGTCCTCCTAATCTCAAACGGCTGCAGCTTGGTTGGTTTCCAGTGTCCTACAAATACTATTGGGTCGTTGGGACAGTCATGACTTCTAGGCGTTTTTGCATAAAAACATAGAAAAATACATCACGATTTTCTGATCAGCCTAATATTTTAACAAGGATTTATCATTCACGTCTCAGTTAACTGTGTCAAATACTGTGAGCATTACAGCAACCAGAAAATACAGTTCCCATCTTTGAGAGACCTACCACATCTTCAGTTATCTTAGACTACAAGGTCAGTCCACAACATTTTCTTATAAGTGAAATTAAATTGCCATGATATAGCATACGATAATTAATTCCCAACTGTTTATGTAAATGAATGCAGCACACTGTAGTGAAAAAACCCAGCTGAGTCCTTGTTTTGGTCCTAACCTAGCTGTAAGTGACAGGAGAGTCTGCTACTGAGAGCTGGAACAATGGTTTCTATTCTCACACACTGCCTTTTAACTTACAGGGAAATGCTGATGAACCCATTTAAACCTCAGCTAATTACCTACAAAAACTAGGGGTGGGAGCAGACAGGTGGTGTGGTGGTTAAAGATGTTGGACTCCCGCATGGCCAGCTGCAGTTTGAGTCCTGGACCTGGTGGCTTGCTTTCTCACTTTCTCTCTCTCTCTTGCTCTGTCCCTCTCTGGTCAAATAAAAAGTAAACAAACAAATTAATTAATTAAATTAAATTTTTTAAAAAACTGGGAGAGGTGAGAACAAAGGGGTACCTGAGCCAGAGCAGGACCCGATCAACTGGAGAGCCAGCAGAATCTAGAGAGTCTCTAACAGGTCATTGCCTTTGCAAGGAAAATGAAGCCCCAGGACAAACAAGGCCATGGAATTTTCAAAAAGACAGGGAGGGTAACCTTGACTTTGAGCAAAGAGACATGAAAGAAATACAGAGATAAAAAGGAACTAATTATTACACTATAGAAAGAGACCACAAGAGCCACATTTCCAGATCTACTCATGTGACACATGTATCACTCTGGTGAAATATAAACAAAACACGGAAACTGCTGCTACCGGGGCCCAGCCATGATGGCGCAGCACTGTGCTGTTCCACGCTGCAGCACCACAAGGACATGGAGGTCTGGTTCCCAGGCAGACTTGAATAGGTCGGAGGTGCGTGTGCATGCACACCTAGGATCCTGGCTAGGAAGGCTGGGGGAAGAGAGCACTGGGAGACCCTGTGAAGGGTATTTGTCTTTCTTTATTTATTTTTGGAGAGGTTTTTGCTATAGGGCACGTGCGCTCGCCAGACAGACAGAGAGAGACACAGAGACAGAGAGACAGAAAGCAAGAAATCACCCCCCGGGGGGATGGCCAAGCCGCAATCCCTTCTCCTTCATTCTCCTCTCGGGATCTTGGGCATGCACGCACATGCGCCTGGTGTGAGTTTTAAGCCACCAGGTCTGGGACTCGAACAGCAATCGACTACATGGGAGTCTAGCGACATAGCCATTACGTTAACTGCTGGTCCCAAGGGTATTTGTCTTTCTTTCTCATGAAGAAATAAACTAAAAAGAAAGGAAAAGAAAGAAAGAAGGAAGGAAGGAAGAAAACCTGCCTTTATTGAAAAAAGATGTCTCAATGAAACAAGATAATTTCAAAAGTTGTATAAGCAGACAATCGATAACTGGTGTTGGGGCCAGCCACAGTGTAATGGTTATGTCACTGTACTCCCAATAGTTGACTGCGGTTTGAGTCCCAGACCCAGTGACTTAAAACTCATGTCAGGCATGTGTGCATGAGTGCCCAAGATCCTGAGAAGAGAATGGAGGAGAAGGGATTGTGTCATGGCAATCCCCCCTGGGGGGTGATTTCTCACTTGACTATCCAACAAGAAGCTTGCTCAGGGGCTTGAAGGCTTGCTTTCTCACTTTCCCTTTTGGTTCCTGTCAAGTTAAAAAATAATTAATAAATAAAATTAAATAAATATATTTTTTCAAAGGCAGTTTGCTCAAATTGGTTGTTCTAGAAGTCAAAAATCCAAGCCTGATTCTCAAATTTAGTGTCTTATACTTCAAAATGTTTTTAAATGAAAAAATGTAAACTCCTAAATTTTAATTATTTGGAAAATGTTGACAGTTGTATTTCCTGTCTTGCTCTGGAACAGGACTGCTGCCTACACAATAAGATAATTTATGAAAGAGCTGGAATATTAGGGTTCTATTTTTTGGGACATTCAAAATTTATTTTATTTTCCAACTGACAGACAGCATTAGCAGGTACAACTAAGGGTTTCTCCATAGAGCATACATTCACAAAATATCATCAGCTCAACACTGAGAAAGCCCCTGGTGGGCTTCCTGTAAGAATATGCACTTCACAGTGTCCACAGTTACTATTATTGCGTCCATTTACAATACCAGGAGGCAAGGCACAACTAGGTAAAACACATTTTTTGGGTCCTAAAGTCAATGAAACATTGCTCTAATGGTTTAACAAAGAAAGAGAAAGGAAGACCTTAACCTCTGGGCAGAGAAAAGGGGAAGACTCTTACTGAAATGTCGATCAAGACTGTTACCCAAAGCTTTGTCTTTAGTTATTGCACTCGGGTCTTACTGAGTCAGAAGAATTCTGGTTGTTAAACTCCTTGCAAGTGGTCACTAATTCCACTCTGCCCTTTGAGAACATGGTCTTTCTACCACACAGTTGTTAATACCCAGGGAGGAATTGCTTTAGTCACAGAGCAATCCCCTGTAAACAGTTAAAACCTAATCAAAGTGGGGCCAGCAGGTGGCGTGGTGGTTAAAGGTGCTGTATTCCCACATGGCTGACCACGGTTTGAGTACTGGACCTGGTGGCTTGCTTTCTCACTTTCCCTTTTTTCTCTGTGTCTCTACCTGGTCAAATTAAAAAATAATAAGTTTGTTGATACTTGTACCTATTTTGTGTTACCCACTTTGTGCAACTGTGTTTTATTTTTAAAATTATTTTAAAATTTTTATTTACTATTATTCAATTTGACAGAGAGAGGGAGAGTAAGAAAGCAAGCTGCCAGGTCCGGAACGTAAACCACGGATGGCCATGCCCGAGTCAAGCACCGTCACCACTGTGGTACCTGCCAGCCACACGCTGTGGTTTCCTGTTCGGTCTCGCAAAGGTCAGTCTGGGGAAGCTTGTCACTCAGGTCTTTCAGAGGATTAGTAACAGCCTGTTGCCTCAAGAGTGCTATACAGCTCTTAGCTTTACAGGGTGGTCCCTGGTAAACTGGTTCAAAGATGATTATTATTGGGTGGGCTTATTTGTATATTTTATATTCATGAGAGAGAGAGAGAAGCTCCCTCAACAGTCGCATGACCCAATCCTTCCTAGCTTGTCAGGATCATGGCATGTGCACGCCTGGCATGTATGGTCAACTCAGGAACCAAATCTCCGTCTTCCAGACAGCGTCCAGCATCGCAGAGCACTGCACTACCACTGTGTCACCACAGCTGCACTGGAGGGTTACTTCTAATGCAATGGCCAAAGAGAACGGTAAGGCGCAGTCAGCTTTCAAACTTGAGAGGGCTGTTAAGCAGCTCTTTTCCTCAGAAGAGCCTGAAAGGGGCCTTCAGAATGCTATAAGCAGTCTATGAGGTCAAGGGCTAGTGAGACTTAGAATCTGGAGGCCAATGCGTTAAGTATAGTGCCCACAATCTAATGCCGACTCAGAGTGGTCTGGTTGGGCAGCAAGTACATGATGTAAAGTTTGGGTATTAATTTATCATTACTGAGTTGAAAGAAATATAGTGGTTAAGAACACAGATTACGGAGTCAGACTTCCTGGATGTGTATCCGAGATCCAACACTTAACAATAGATCATCTTGGGCAAGCTGCTTAGCTCTCTGATTCAGCTTCCTGATCAGTAAAACAGGGACTGCCGTCTACCACACAAGGCCGTCGTTAGCAGTCCCAAAGCTATCTAACAGTTGTAAGCTTCCAATCAATGCAAACTTGAATTACTACACACATCTCAGGTCAACTATCTTCCTGATCTTAACTATCATTTCCCAAAATAAACAACTTCAAAAAGGCTCTTTTCATATGTAACAAAATGTTGGGACCAGCCGTTGGCGTAATGGCTATGTCACTGGACTTCCACATAGTCCACCGCGATTCGAGTCCCGGACCCGGTGGCTTAAACTCACACCGGGCGCATGTGCGTGTGTGCCCAAGATGCCGAGAGGAGAATGGAGAAGGGATTGCGGCATGGCTATCCCCCCTGGGGGGTGATTTCTCGCTTTCTGTCTGTCTCTCTGTGTCTTTCTGGCGAGCACATGTGCCCTATAGCAAAAACCTCTTAAAAAAAAAAGGTCTTATTTACAACGAGGACGTGGTCACATAAAAATTTGTTGTCCTTACCTTTGTCATTCCATTATTTTCAGAACAAGAGTATAATTTTTATTTATAAACTGACACAAATAATAAAGAGATGGGGAAAGGAGGGCTTTCTTACCGTTAAACGTTTGCTGTAAATGTGTAGGCAGAGGTGAGTGGGAAAGTGATGCTGCATGCTGAGCTCCTGGCTGTAAACCCTTTATAATATCTGTGAGGAAAACAGGCCTGTCAGTGACCTTTTAAAAACCAGGTTGTGAGCCTCTTACACCAAAAATGAAAATAGTTCGACTTATCTAATGCAAGCATACTCCTGACTTCAGAGGCATTCAGAACTAGCACACATTCCTTTAAAAAGTTATCTATATGAATGTAGCTGTGTATGCAAATAACCCAACACCTTTGATTCCCACTTATAAATTTCATTAAGACGGAAACACTGATGTGGTCTGGATGGCTCATTTGTTCATTTTTAAGCTATAAATACAATTCCAGAGTTAGACAGATGAAAGAAATTGCATTTCTTTAAGGAAAATAATGGGTCCTCTTCATTAACTTCAGCTAGACTACTCCTAATTAGAATACACTCGTGAGGTTTCCTGCTCTTCCAAACTAGACAGCCAAGTAAACAAAAGAGCCCACTTACTCTGAGTTAGGCTATGGCGGAAGGAGGCTGAGGTAGATCCCGAGGTGGTTGTCACTCCAGCTGTGTCCGTTCCAAAGCCAAGTAGCTCCAAGGGAAACTGGAAGGGCATGGTCACTGGAACAAGGCCACCCAGCATCCCAAAAGGAGTCACATTTTGATTTGTTACAGACAAAGGTGATGTCATGAGAGTCAGAGGTGAGGCATTAGCCAATAATGATGCTCCTGCTGTGGACTGTGCAGAAATCAGGGGTCAAAATACAGAAAGAAGTATTCACCTAATCTGAATCATCTTATTTACTATCCCATGGACGCAAGACTGTGTCTTTTACCTGCTCTAACAGAAACTCGGTGAGAGAGAAATTAAGACTGAGGTGAAAAATCTACTTCAAAGAGTTATCAACATCAGTTTGAAACTTAAAATTGTAAAATTGTATTTCAGAATATTCATATACTTAGCTTTTCATCACGTTAGTCTCCTTCTTAACTTATTTTAATGCTAACTGTGTTAACATCCACTCGCTTTTTTTTTTTTAAAGGTTTTTGTCATAGGGCACATGAGTGCACTGTACAGAGGAAAGAGAGGAAGTGAGAAATCACACCCCAGGAGGATGGCCATGCCGCAATCCCCTCCTGTTCCATCCTCCTCTCAGGATTTTGAGCTTGCACATGCGCCCTGTGTGATTTTTAAGCCACCGGGTCCAGGGTTTGACCCATGGTTGGCGATGTGGGAATCGAGTGCCTTAACTACCATGCCACCTCCTGGCCCCTCATTTTCTTTCTTAAACTTCTAATGCCTAACTTTAGATTTCCATTTATCCACTAGCTAAATAATCCCATGCAATTTTGGGACCACCAGATGACATGATGGTTACGTTGCTAGACTCCCAAGTAGTCAACCGAGGTTCAAGTCAGTTTGAACCTGGACTTGGCAGCTTAGAAAACTCACACTGGGTGCATGTGTGTACGTGCCCAAATCACAAGAGGATAAAGGAAGAGAGGGGATTGTGGCATGGCCATTCCCCCCAGGGGTCGGGGTGGGTGATTTCTTGCTTCCTGTCTCTCTGGCTAGTGCATACACCTATAGCAAAAATCTCTCTAAAAAATAATAATACCATGCAATTTCAACTGGTTCTCTGGAAATGTGCAATAATTTTATATCTGTCTGGCACAATCCCTGTAGGTGCCGTTCCAGACCGCTGCTCTTTTGGCCTCTCTACACACCCTTTATCATCATCAGACCACTTGAGAGATGAAGTCACGCCTGACATTCTTCCTCATCATTAGCCTTGTCTGTCCTTCTCCAAAACAAGTCATGTGACATATTCAAGAACCCCATTTATTTTTTTTAGAATGATTTAATTATATTTATCATTATTCAGTTTGATGAGAGAGAGATAAAGCAAGCTGCCAGGTCTGGGACTCGAACCATGGTTAACCATGTGGGAGTCCAGGGCCTTAACCATCACACTACCTGCTGGCCCCAGCTGTAGAACTCTTTTGTACAGATATTTAGTATTGCACCTTCTCCATGTTTTGACTGTCCTCTAGATACAGAGAGCTCTAATTTCTTTTTACACACACGCTGTTATTCCTGGCTCTTTCCCAACTCCTAGCAACAATCTAACTTGTATTCCTTTTATTATGGAACTTAAGTGTACCAGAGCCTCCATTTCCCACGTTCTCTAATCTCTCCCTCACCCTGGAAAGCTGGTCATACCACTGTTGTGCTGAGATTCAACTCCCTCAGGTAAAAGGCAAATTAGAGAGTATCTTCCCATCCCTACCCGCCTAGCCTGTCTCCTCCCCCTGGCTTTGATACTGTGTTTATGAATAAAAACACATGCTAGCTTTGATGAGCCTCACAGGGAAATTACTCAAACATACTTCTTTAGCTAACTTTTTTTTTTTTTTCCATAGGTCCTGCATGTTTTCTGGAGAGAGACCAGAAAGAGGGGGAAAGTGAGAAATCACCCCCAGGAGGGATGGTCATACTGCAACCCCCTTCTCCGACATTCTCTTCTCACATTTTGAACACATAGGCACACATATGCCTGGTGAGTTGTTCAAGCTGTTGGGTCTAGGACTCGAACATGGTCAGCCATGTGGGATCTAATACCTTAACCACTACCACCTTCTGGCCCTTTTGAGCTAACTTAATTCTATGGCAAAGTCTTCTATACAGCAGTTAAATAATTTTTTTCCTATTTTGATTTTTTTCTATGTGTACTTGTCAACAAAGATTCGATGCAATCAACTTTTCTTAGTATAAGACATTACCTATTATACTTTCTGCTACTGTGAATTTTCTTCTGTTACTTTATTATATTTTGTTGCTTTATTTATTAAATGTATCCAAATTTCTGTAATTAAAAATTTTATTGTCCTAAATTTGATCAGAAAAATGGAATTATTTGAACTTTTTTGTTAGTCAATAATAAGTGTTAGCTATGGTCAGTTTTACTTTTTGTGTTTTCTATACAGTAAGAATTACTCATTAATAAAGGGCTGTTTCTTAGTTAACATATGAAAAGAATGAGGCCGTTTTCCCATGCTTTTATGGCACTTACATGTATTTCTGATGAACTAGGAAAGGAAGAGCACCCTCAGGAGCCTCCACGCGGGTCCTCCCACAAGCTCTCCACTGCACCCTCCGCTCACCGCCTGCTCTCTGCAATTCTACTCACAGTTCTGACCACTCATCTCAGTTCGGTCCTGCACATCCGAGTTTACGGAAAGGTTCCACTTGGATATCTAATTGTTACCACCCGGACATGTCCAAATTAGAGTCACCTGCAACCAGTCCCCACCATGTGTAACTGCTAGCCAGAATCTCATTCCAGCCAGCTACTCGGGCTTGAAGCCTTACTTTTCAAGCATCGTAAAACGAACAAGATGAGCTCATAGCCAACAAACCTATTCTTTTTCTTTTCTTTCTTTTTTTTCTTCACTGAAACTTAGTCTTAGACTGAATTTCAGATCTGCATCACCTTGGATTTGCCAGCTTCGTCCTCTACTATGCCAAGCATGTGGCAACCAAAGCAGGTACATTCAGAAAAACTTTTACCAAGCTACATATAATACTGTCTGCAAGCAACTAGGGTAAGAAAGATCTTGCATCAAGTTAAAAATGAACAAGAGTTTGTTTCTTTTTTTTTTCTCCTTTTTTTTTTTTTTTTAAAGAGGTTTTTGCTATAGGGCTCGTGTGCTCGCCAGACAGAGAGAGACATAGAGACAGAAAGCGAGAAATCACCCCCAGGGGGGATGGCCATGCTGCAATCCCTTCTCCTCCATTCTCCTCTTGGGATCTTGGGCACACATGCACACGCGCCCGGCATGAGTTTTAAGCCACTGGGTCCGGGCCGCGAATCACGGTTGACTACGTGGGAGTCCTGCAACATAGCCATTACACTAACTGCTGGTCCCTTGTTTCTTCTTTTTAATCATAATTCTTTTGTAGTCTTCTTCTTTAAAGATTTATTTACTTTCAGTTTTATTTACTATCATTATTCTTCAATTTTGACCAGAAAGAGACAGACAGAAAGGGAGACTGGGAAAGTAAGCCGCCAGGTCCTGGATTTGAACCGTGGTCGGCCATGTGGGAATTCAACGCCTCAACCACCAGGCCACCTGCCAGCCTCTCTTTTGTAGTCTTTGGAGTGAGGAACATTCAATACTGCTAGTAAAGACAGCCTTTTCTGAAGAAGTCTAAATGATGCACTAAAATAGATGGAATATGTAAATTAGAGGACATTCCAAAGTTAAATAACTTGAGTATTAGCAATTAAAAAAAAAAAAGATACCATGCCCTAACATTTCACTGCCATATCCACTTTACTTATAAATCTAGGCTGAGACATAGGGAATGTAAATGTTACAGGCATTGGGACCAGCAATTGGCCTAATGGCTACGTTGCTGGACTCCCACGTAGTCAACCGTGGTTTGAGTCTCGGACCCGTGGCTTAAAGTCACGCCAGGCGCGTGTGTGTGCTGCGTGTGCATGCCCAGGATTCCGAAAGGAGCATGGAGAAGGGACTGCGACGTGGCCATCCCCCCTGGGGGGTCATTTCTCACTTTCTGTCTCACTGTCTCTCTTTCTTTCTGGCGAGCACACGTGCCCTATACCAAAACCTCTCAAAAAAAAAAAAAAAAGTTACACAGGCATTTACTCATTGCTCTGTCCTACAAGGAGGACGCCTTTAAGATACAGGGCATTCCAGTGTTGGTATCATTTGGAAGCAAACAGGAGAAGCTGTCAATACAAAGTGGGCACGGCTCAGAATAATGCCTCATAATAAAAAATAAACACTTCCCGCGACCGCTAACTCTTATTCCCAAGGGAAATGTGAGGGAAACCTGGCTTTCTCACACTGGGCCTTACGTCTCTTTTGAAAGCACGGGTTGTGTTCTGGGGAGGGCATCTGTCCTCCGTTTCTCACGGCGCCTATAATCCTCTTTCCCAGCCCAAAACCCTCCATGGCTTCCCACTGTGCACAGGATCAAGTCCTAAACCCTCACCACAGTCATGAGGTCCTCTGTGACACGATCTCGTCACCTACTCATCTCTCCCCAGTCTAGCCATGCAGACCTCACTTCTCTTTCCCACCTCAGCGTCCCCATCCAGTTTCCTCTAGCCTAGACTGTTTCTCTCCTCTTACCTCCACACGGCTGGCCCCTGCTCGAGTCTCAGCTCAAATGCTATCTCCTCAAAGGGACTTCGGTGACTCCCTTGCTACATTCGCAGTAATCGTGCTTTATTATACTACCCAGTTTAGTTGTTTTACAGCGCTTTGCACATTTTAACAACTCCTGCTTCTCTCCCTACGTAGGTATATGTTCCATGAGAGCAGGACACTGAGCGCGTGCCGCTCACACCTCTTTCCCCAGCACCTAGAAGAGCGCCTGGCACACAGCAACTGCTCAGTAAACATTTGCTTAATGAAGAATGTTGGGAACTATAGTGACAAAGACAGAATTCCCAGAAAATCAGTAAGCTGAAGGGCATGAGAGAAGAAAGCCGAGTTTAAAGTTATTAAGAAAGCAGATCGAGCTAGTAACCTAAACCCAGATAGAGTTTAACTTTTGTCCTGTGGTAAAGGACTGGTAACTTTCACTCTGCAAATGAGCAGACGAGCTGCAGATGTCTCCTGGACAGGAGGTGGGTGACTGCGTTGCAGGCACAGATGGGAGACCTGCGTTCAGTGTTCACGTGCTCTATGGAAAGGATCTCGGGCTTCAAGGGAGCGGGTAAGACTCGGATGAGATACTAAAACAAAGATAACCTTGGGTTTAACAGAGAGGAGAATAACCTTTTTAATTACTGGCTTTTTCTTCAGTTAAACCACAATGATGGATAAAAACAGATCAGATATAAAGGTGGGAACACTTGGGTCTCAAAATTATAGAACCATTTGGGTGAGAAAGAAACCAGAAGGAGTAATTATTTTCAGAAACACAAATTTTGCCATGTGGCTTCTTTGCTGACTACTTATTTGTTACACAGTATATATGGGTGTTTTGAGATGAGTTCAAACTCAGGAATTCTTTGGGAATAAAAAAGAATGGATAGATTGTGGAGATAAAAAAATGAGGAAGAAAGATTTCACCTTAAGTTCAAAGAAAACAAAGCAAGTGTTGGGGCAGGAAGCAATTTTTAACTCCAGGAAAACATCTACAATTTTGTAATAGGAAAATAAAACCAGTTTATGACATTTATCTCAAAGACAATATTTATATAATTATGAGTTTTAACCAAGAACTAATTGTAGTACTCTTACAGGAGAATAGGGTAGTTATTAAAGAGCTAAAGCCTATATCATAGTAAAAAGTCAAAAGTTAATACTAAAATTGATAAAAATTAAGTTTTCCATTCATTATTCTTATTTTAAAATACAAACAAGAAAAAAGAGAGTTACGAATAGTTGTCCCTATAGAGGAATAGGAAACTGCCATTTCTGTGTTCCATGTGTTTCTTTGATCAAATTAAAGATTAATTTTTTAAAAGTCAACTTTTTAATAAATATAATAAAAAACAGTAATATGGGCTAATTCCCAGATCTCACCTATCACTTCACATATAATTCTTAATATCAATGTTAATGTGCTCTTTGACACTTCTTATTTCCAACTGAAGTCAAATTATATAGATAGAACTTAAATCCCTTCTTCACTCTCTTCTCCTGAGAGGCATGCATGCACAGGTGACGGGTTGAGTTTCAAGCTGCTGAGTCCAGGACTCGAACCATGGCTGGCCATGTGGGAATCCAGCAATGTAACCATTACATCATCTGCTAGTCCCAACACTAGATTCCAATTAACCAAGTACCAGTTAACTGAATTGTTTTACATTAGAATTTAAGAATCAAGTCATCCCAGAGCCTACTTCTGCAGCAAAATGATGATTTGGGCATTAAATACATATTGAATGCCAACCCTTAAACTGTATTGAACTGTGCATGACTTCTTTTTTATTTAGTTTTTATAAATTATTTTACTTCTCCTTCTTTCTTCCTTCCTTCCTTCCTTTATTTATTTATTTTAATTTGACCAGAGAGGGACAGAATGAGAGAGAGGGAAAGCAAGAAAGCAAGCTGCCAGGTCCAGGACTCAAACCACTGTTGGCCATGTGGGAGTCCAGCACCCTTAGCCACCATGCCACGTGCTGACTCCAATCACAGGAGACTTCTAAAAACGGCAAGGGGAAAATCCTTTTATTAGATTTTCCTTTTCCACATAAATAGGAGGCAATGCAAAATTACAGCACTTCCTTGGACAAAAGAATTCCATAAATTAATAAGCCATATTTTCAAATAATATTTAAGAATCTAAGAACTTTCTATCACAAAATGGTGCCTTAAAAATAATTATTATTTAATTTTACTTATTATTATTATTTTAAATTTGCTATAGGGCACACATGTTCACCAGAAAGAGAGGAAAAGTAAGAAAGCAAGTTGCCAGGTCCAGGACTTGAACCACAGTCGGCCATGTTAGTCCACCAGGGCATCTTCTGGCCCCAAAATGGTATATATTTTTTTAAAGAATTTATTTATTATTGTTATTTAAAATTCACCACAGAGAGAGAAGGAGAAAGGGAAAGTAAAAACGCAAGCCGCCAGGTCCAGGACTTGAACTGCAGTTGGCCACATAGGAGTCCAGCGCCTTAACCCACCTGCTTACCCCCCATATTGTGAATTTTTTTAAAAAGCTGTTATAAAACAGAATGTTATTAATAATAAAACATACTTTTCTCTTTTTTTTTTTGGGTTTTTTTTTTTTTTTGCTATAAGGCAGGTGTGCTCACCAGAAAGACAGAGAGATACAGAGAGACAGTAAGCGAGAAATCACCCCCCCCTCCAGGGGGATGGCCATGCCACAATCCCTTCTCCAGTCTCCTCTAGGAATCTTGGGCAAACATGCACACGTGCCCAGCATGAGTTTAAGCCGCCAGGTCTGGGACTCGAACTGTGGTCGACTACATGGGAGTCCAGCGACATAGCCATTATGCTAACTGCTGGTCCCAAAACATACTTTCTTGAAAAGAGTCTAATGAAGTACCTATAAAATTCAAACAGTGTTGGATGACAGGTGATTTTTATTTTTATTTTCTATTTTTATTTTTCTAAATTTACCGACTGTAAGTATGTGTTACCTTCAGAAAAAAAAAAGAAGGATGTTAAAGAAAACAAACTGTTTAATATGAGGACAAATATGAGAAAGTGACAGTATGATGACGTAGCAGAGAGATGAAAACAGTAAAAGACAGAAGTATAGACACAGAAATAAAACACAGGAATAATGAAAGAGTTCTTAAAAAGCCTGGGAGAGGGTGGTGCAGTGCTGCCCAGAAGGCAACTCAGCAGGATCTCACGTGGCTGACTGAGCCATTCAAATCTCAAACCTCGGCCTGAAAAAACCAGGTGCATGTGTGTAGGTGCCCAACATCCGAAAACGAGGGAGAAATGATTACTGGGTGACCATGCCCCAGGGGGGTGCTTTTTAACTCTCTCTCTCTCTGTGTCTCTCTTTGGCAAACACATGTACCCTCTGGCAAATTAAAAAAATTAAATAAATAAAACACAACCTAGGATAAATGGATGGAAAGGATAATCAGACATATCAGAGAAGAAAATGTCCTTGAGCTGAAAAACACTGCCGGGTCTGGAGCTGAAAGGCATTACTGTGTTCTTGCTACAAAATTAATGAGAATTAGACACACCTAACCACCGTCTAGGTACACTTGAATTTGAAGAAAAGTAATCTTACTGCCATTAATGCAGAGAAAACACATTACTTAAATAGAAACCAAAAAATCAGAATGGTCTCAGACTTCCCTCTGATACCTAAATACTAAGCAAGAGTCAGTGGAATAGTATTTATGAAATTTGCAGTAGGATGATTAGTGGCTCAAGACGTCTGTACCAACTGAAGTGTGATAGCACAGAAGGAACTATCAGGGATACAAGAGCTAAGATAAACTAATATTTATGTTAGGTGAAAAGATTCCTGGAGTGAGGCATTCCAGGTACTCCAGAGAAAAACTTAAAATTAAACTTAAAATTTATGAATGGGGAAATTCTGATATAATAGGAATGACAGTATTTTTGACATAGAGAACTATATAAATGACTATAAAATCAATGCAAAACAAAGACATTATTTGAGGGTTGGCCCTGTAACCTAGTGGTTAAGGGAATCAGATCCCACATGGCCAACTGCAATTCAAATTCTGGTGTTGGCAGCTTAAAAACATCATAAGCAGGGCCAACAGGTGCCATGATGGTTAAGGTGCTAGACTCCCACATGTCCGACTGTGGTTTGAGACCCGGACCTAGTGGTTTGAAAATCACACCATACACATGTGCCCAAAATCCCAAGAGGAGAATGGAGAAGGGATTATGGCATGGCCATTCGCTCTAGCAGGTAATTTTTCACTTTCCCTCTCACTGTCTTGTCTCTCTCCTCTGAGCACACACACCCTATGGCAAAAATCTTACAGGAAAAAAAAAAAAAAGAAAGAAACAAGACAGGTCCATGTGCATTCTTGCCTGAAATCCTAACAGGATGAAAAAATAAAGAATGTATCGCAGCATAACCACACCCCACTAAAGGATGCCTTCTTTCTCTCATTAACTATCTCTCTCTGGCAAGTGCACACACCCTCTGGCAATTAAAAAGTAACTGAGAAGATAAATGGTTAAAGAAAAAAATAATGTGAATATACATTTTATTAAATAAAAATATAAGAAGGTTGGCAGGAGAAAGGAAAGCAGAGAAAGTGTATGTATGTAAACTTCCTTCTGGACTCCGATAAGAGGTGAAGCTTTAAACATGTACTTTAGCTTGTTCTTCAAAAATGTCCAAGGGGCCAGCAGGTGGCATGGTGGTCAAGGTGCTGGGCTTTCCCTCTCTCTGTCTCTCTTTGGTTAAATTAAAATAATAATAATAATAATGAAAATTAAAATGAAATATTTCTTTAAAAAATGTTTAAAGTGAACATATATAATACTTTGCTAGAAAATAAAAACTTCACACTCTCAAAACGTCTAATCCACAAGTGTGCCCATCACTGTGAGGTCAACACCAAGAACATTCCATGACTATCATAAGCCTGTTATAAACCATCTATATATCATGATAAGGCGATTAGAGTGACTTACAAGAGGGTGACACAATCTTCCATTGGATCACTTGAACACAGAGAATATACATACCTGCACACTGGCTGTTACCACTGAAGACCCTGAGGCAGAGGATGGTCTATGTGGAGTAGACAACGGTTTAGTAGCACCCTGTGTTCCACTTCCTGTTCCCCCAGATAGACTAGTCCTATTAGCTCCGCTTGAGTTAAGGTTGCTACCTCTGCTGGCAGGTACATTCATGGCGATTCCACTCAAGCTATTCTTCCCAACAGTTCCAGCGGATGATGAATTTGTTAGCTTTGAAGGGGCCTGAAGATTTTTTGCAGACGGAAGGCCTGAAGTACGATTAGAGGGCAATAAATTCAAGGTAGGAGACTGTCTGCTGATGTTCATTCCACTGGGCTGTTTATGGACTGGGTTGTTACTGCTGGAGTGGCTACTCTGGGCTACTAGTGCATTTGGACTGGAAGAACTTGGGACTACAGTAGGCTTGGGAGTTGGGTTGGATTTAGAAATAAGTTTAGTTGATACTGAAGGCTTAGCTGACAGAGAGGGCTTGGGTGAAGCAGAAGGCTTAGGTGAGGGCAAGGGTTTGGGAGATGTAGCAGGTTTGGGAGATGCGGCAAGTTTTGGGGATGCAGCCATTGAGAAGGGAGATTTGAAACCCTGCGTGGAGATTTGCGACACCATAGCCTTGGCTAAATAGTTACTGGAGGTAGTGGTGCTAGGTGCTGTCCTAGAGACCAGGGGGTGGGACCCCTGAGAACCATTTCCAGGTGAGGGAGTGGACACGGGAAGGCGGTACATAAGTGGCTTATCTGAAGTCTTAATAAGTGGGGACGAACAGGAAAGTTGGGGATTATTACTTAGTTTCACCACTGGGTTGGTCTGTGATTTACTAATGGTTGCTTGTAATGGAGACACATAGTTCTGTTGGACAGCTGAATGCTGGTGCACCTTTGTTACTTGTGTTAACGAAGAAGCATCTTGGGCCTCTGATGTTCCCAGAGCGTGAGAGGAGGCAGCAAGTTGGGCTTGGGAAGAGGAGACGTGGGTCTGTGAAGAGGAAGAAGCATGAATCTGGCTTGACCTCTGGAGTCCTTGTTGGAGTAGCCTGGCTGGCAAAGGTTCTAAGGAAACTTTCGGGTTCTGAATTGAAGAACCAGCAATAAGGCCTGAAGAGATACCAGTATGAGCTAAATCCTGGGGTTTCTTTGGTACTGGCCCTGTGTGACCAGCAATAAGACTTGACGAATGTGCAGTCTGAGTAGAATCTAGTTTTTTGGGAGTAGCCAGTGGTAGCTTACTCATGATACTTGCTAATTTTTCTTCTCTCAGTCCCGGACGAGGTTTCGTAGTTGGCATGCTTATCCTTGAGCCAACTGGAGGGCCCTTGTTCCCATTGTTGATGACGGCTAAAGCTTCAGACACGAGATCCAGTGAAGGTGAGTGGAAAGAAAGGTCTTCATCTAGCGAGTCGTCGAGGCAGATGGTTTCTTGGGCTGGTGTGGAGCTAGAGCTGGTGGAGGCGACAGCAGACGTGCTGGAGCTCGTTGAAGGACCACCAACCGAAGCCACCAAGGAGGCAGGAGTTTTCTGGTCCTTTTTTGGACTACACTCCTAGCATAAGCAGCAGTACACAGGAAAGAAGGAAAATCATTAATAATAAACTGCCAAGTTAATTTCAAAGAGCTAAGAAATTCTATGATTGAAACTATTTTTCTACAAGAAATCTTGAGAGCTTACCAAAACCAAAACAACTTCTGAGAGGACAGAGCTTCTGAGTCTCCTCATGAAACAAAGTATCTGCTATAGCGTATCTAATATATAGCATCTGATATATTTAATATATAGTATCTGATATATCCGATATATAGTATCTGATATATCTAATATATAGTTTCTGATATATGGTACACAGCAGCCATTCTTAATAAGTCATTCTACTAAGAGGGCCCCAAACGAAGTCAATGGAATAATGGGACATTTGTACACTAGTTACATTACAGATGACTCCCCACAACTGTTTCAGGGCTTCCGCTCCTATTCCAAAACCCATCTGTTCTGAGATTGTTCTCTTCTCATTCTCCTGTACTCTAGAGAAATTCTGCCTTCAAATTAAGACTTCCCCCCTCTATTCTAGTATGGCTTACTAGGCTGCTGACCCTCATTTTCCTGTTTCTGAGCATTTCTGCATTTTGTATGCCTGTCTTACTGCTACCAGTGCCTAGAGAAACTAGTACACCAAACTGGCAAATGGATCAGTCCAAGTATATTTAAATCACATTTTTTATTTAGTATGGTAGAAGTCACTGTGGTTTATTCAACAGGCAAGGAGGTCCTCAAAAACTTCATGGAAAGTGTATGATGAAAAATGATATACATGGGGCCATCAGGTGAGGTGGTGGCTAAGGAGCTGGACTCCCACATGGCTGACTGTGGTTCAAGTCCCAGGCCTGGTGACTTGAAACTCATGCCAGGTGTGTGTATGTGCATGTGTGCCCAAAATCCCAAGAGGAGAATGAAAGACAGGGGATTGTGGTGTGGCCATCTCCCCTGGAGGGCTATTTCTCACTTTCCCTATCTCTGTCTGTCTGTCTCTCTGGTGAGTACATATACCCTATAGCAAAAAAGAAAAAAAAGAAAAAGGGAAGAAAAATAATATACATAGATTTCAAAAACCATCCACACTAAAATAAGCTTGTACTTCCATTCTATTTTGCTACGAACCCTATGAAGTCTCCTTGTATACTTACTAAGTGTCCAGTACGATCAAAGCTTTATGCTAAGAAATGGGATATTATGAATTAAAACCCTGAATTCCTAAGAGAATATTTTCTGTTTTCTTAAAAAAATAACTTTCTTAAGAGATAAGAGAATCAGAATGTAGTTTAAAATATTCAAGGAACAAAAGAATTAAAAAGCAATTGTTTCTTTTTAGAGAGAAATATAAAGTAGTTGACTCATTTCATTTCTAAGATGAGGAAGAAAAGAACTATTACATAAAAGTCATTTCAAAGTCTCTTCAATTAGTATCTTAAAAATGAGCAAAGAAACCAACCCAGATAAGCCCACACCCAGAGTCTTACGTATGTACTGATTTACACAACACAGCACTTACCTTAAGCATAGTGGGGAAAGAATGGAGAGGAAGGGTCTTTACCATCACCTCCTAGGTATTACAGTAAGTAAGTTGTTAAGAATGCTGTCACACTCTGACCTCCTCAGCACTGTTTCCTAAGCTTTTAGCCTAAAACCCCCACTTGAAAACCTTACTGCTCGTAAAGGATGCGGTATAATTACATCAAGGTCACATCTGCCTAAGATGATCAGGGACAGCAGACGAAGTACGTGTTTACTTTAACATGCCATCCACTTTCATGAGTGAGCATTCCCGTCACTGTAAAAAGTGTGTAAGTCAGGGTGGGAGAAGGTACCAGATATTGGAGGTGTTACCAGCAGAAAACTGCTGGCTTAAGTTACTTTTTTACTAGTAATTTTTATTCTTGTAATAATAACATTAAATCTACCCAACAGAATATTGTGTAGGTCTACAATGACAGAGAAAATTGTTTAGGACATATACTTGAGGTGAAAAAGCAGGTTATCCATTTATACTGAATATTGAAAGGGTAGCTAGAAGGGAGTAAGGAACAGAGATCCAGAGGGAGGGCAGATATGGACCAAAAAGTTAAAAGCTTTTTCCCCTCTGAGTAAGGAGAAATTTCTGATATGCCTATTTTTCTCCTTACCTTTCTATATTATCTGAATTTTCTACTGTAAGCATTTCCTTGTATTATCTTTAAAACTATAAAAGGTATGCAGACTGTGAGGGAATGGGTGCAGTAGGAAAAAACAAATCAACAATATAGCTTTTCCATTTTGGGTAAAGAAAATCTAATGTAATCACAGAGAAGCGAACAAAAAAAATCAGTAATTACCCACATCATCCTAACCCATTCATTATGCAAATTTGGATAAATTCCTAGCCAATTATTCTGGCAGTAATACTTGAATAGATTTATCAAAATTTAGCTAACCCTTAATGGAGGGCACTAAGAGTTTATTATCCTACTAAAAATAAAGTCAAATGTCGAAATAAAGGCTGAACTCAACAGATTTAATGGAAGATTAGCTCAATATTATTTGGATGAGAAGACACAGTACGTTACTAAGAAAAAGAGGACTAATTACTCTGTATTCAAAGAGGATCTAGAAGCAAAGGTAAGGTCACAGAGTAACAAATGTTGATCTGGTCATAACCTTACAAGCAAAGGAATTTATCTATTCAAAGAGCTGAAGGATAAGGAGAAAAGTCTAAAACCTAGTGTATTCATTAAACATTTAATTTCAAATACTTAGTAGTCTTTACTTCTAAAGGTTTTATTGAGGCTTTCTTTAAAATTTACTTTCTTTATTTTGATAGAATATTTTTATTCCCTCTTTTGTGACTTTAAATATTTAGGCATTTTAAGTAATTTTACTTTATGTTCTAAACAAAATACATCCATTACTTGCTATTCTCAGGGAACTAATTCTGCTGACTGCTGTTTTTACGAACTCTCAAGAGTAATTTGTCCCCCCATGTCTTTTGTACATATTTCAGACTATAAGTTCATGTTTGACATGACTTACAGGTGCCTTTGAGGCCAAGGAGAGGGCACATTATACCAGAAAGAATTCATTTTTCCCAAATTGCTCTGGGTAATTACTAACCCAGTGAACTTTAACTTACTCTCTCAACTTGGGGTTTTCCTCAAGGTGGTGTAAATTCAACTCCTAAACCCAGGAAATTTTTAGATAGAACTTTCTTCCCTTTCTAGAACATAGGCTAAGACAGGAAATTCTCTTAATCGCTCTGCTGATGGGTAGGTCTTTTTCCCTAGTTTTTCCTTTTCCTAAAGCTGTTATCTTTTTTTCTTTTCTTCTTGATTTTTAAATTTTGCTATAGGCTGCATGTACTTGCCTGAGAGACAGAGAGAGAGAAAGTGAGAAATCACTCCCTAGGGGGATAGCTACGCTGCAATCCCTTCTCCATTCTCCTATCAAGATTTTGGGCACGTAGACACATATAAGCCTGGCATGTTTTTCAAGTTGCCAGGTGTGGGACTTGAACTGCCCAATCAGCCATGTGAGATTCAGCCACCTAAACTACCACGTCAGTGGCTGGCCCTAAAGCTGTTACCTTTTGGGGCCCAACATCAGCTAAGTTTCATTCTAATTTCTGACCTGTACCAGACCAATAAAACCCTATGTGCTCTGCTCTGAGGAGAAAAATAAGATGAAGCCATAAGATGATGAATAAAAACTAGCGAATGTCTCCAAGAGAAACCAAAGTTTTGGGGACAGAGTGATGCCCTGGTGCTTCCTTCTTGGTTTTTGGCCTTAGGAACTTCTCTTACATATTTACAATTGGGGCTATGCTTTTAAAGGATACCTGTTACATTTTATGCTGCATTTCTAAGAATTAAGGTTAATCTGTACAAGGTAAACCACATTTGTGCTAATTTTCCACTACTATATAATCATCTATTATCCCAAATACAAAGGTTTCATGAGTTTTACAGTTGAAAACAAACACCACAGAAGATAGTAATTATCGAACTTTGCTAAACATCATATATCCCTTTCATCTTTAAAATTTATTTCCATATTCACCAATTATGACTAATTAAAGATTTGATTCAGTGCTTACCTTTACTTTGGGTTTAGGTGCAGGAATCACTTTTTTCTTTGCCCTAAGACAGATTAAAAAGGAGGCAATTTCAGTAGTTATCATATCACTTTTTTTTTTTTTTCTTTTCTGGAGAGGTTTTTGCTATAGGGTGCGTGCACTTGCCAGAAAGACAGAGACAGAGAGACAGAAAGTGAGAAATCACCCCCGAGGTTGATGGCCACGCCGCAATCCCTTCTCCTCCATTCTCCTCTTGGGATCTTGGACGCGCACGCACACATGTCCAGCATGCGTTTAAGCCACTAGTTCCTCGACTCAAACTGTAGTTGACTACGTGGGACTCGAGCAACATAGTCATTACGCTAACTGCTGGTCCCTATCTTATCACTCTTTAGCAATCTGTAACACATAACCACACAATAATGTAGACACATAACTCCCGCTGCTACTTGGAAAGTTCCTTGAAGGAAGAAACTATAGAAGCACAAGTGCTCTTGGTTTGTTTGTTTATACATTTATTTATTTTGGAGAGGTTTTTGCAATAGGGCTTGTGTGCGCACCAGAAAGTCAGAGAGAGACAGAGAGTCAGAAAGCAAGAACTCACCCCCGCAGGGGGGATGGCCACGCCACCATCCCTTCTCCTCCATTCTCCTCTCGGGGTCTTGGGCACGCACACACATGCACTCAGCGTGAGTTTAAGCCACTAGGTCTGGGACTCAAACCACAGTCAACTACATGGGAGTCTAGTGACATAGCCATTACACCAACTGCTGGTCCCTGCTCTCCGTTTACATGTGAACATATAGCAATTTTTTCCCCAATAAGAATTAACTGGGAAAAAGGCAAAACAATCAGTAAAATATGAAATGTAGATGATAAACGTTTTAAAAATTAAAAACTGCCTAAGGAGAGCTATTTCAAACAACTGTAAGAAATAATTATTTATAGGGAAACAAAGTCTCAAGAAACTTCGAGATGAAAATAAACAATGCCATTATGTTTTGAATGAGATTTTATAAAAAAATAAACCTGAGTTTTTAAAGAAAATTATTTTTTAAATGTAAAAATTCAAATGAGGGCCAGAAGGTGGTGTGGAGGTTAAGGCAGCTAAATCCCACATGACCAAGTGCATGGATTAAGCCCCAGACCTGGCAGCTGGAAAACATTCCACGTAAGTGTAAATGTATGCCCAAAATCCCAAGAGGAGAAGAGAAGGGAGACTGCAACCCTGGGGGTGACTGCTCCCTTTCTCTCTCCCTATCTCTCTGCATATATCTCTTCCCTGCAAACACACATGCCCTATGGAAAAAGTTTAAAAAAGAAAAGAAAGAAACCCTGTGGGTTCCACAATAGGATAAACTCAAATGTTCACTGAATGATTAAAGGATTGGGACCAGCAGTTAACATAATGACTATGTCGCTGGACTCCCATGTAGTCGACCGTGGTTTGCGTCCCGGACCCGGTGGCACGTGCGTGCCCAAGATCCCGAGAGGAGAATTGAGGAGAAGGGATTGTGGCATGGCCATCCCCCATGAGGGGTGATTTCTCACTTTCTGTCTCTCTGTCTCTCTCTCTGTCTGTCTGGTGAGTGTACATGCCCTATAGCAAAAAACTCTAAAATAAATAAATAAATAAATAAATAAATAGTGAAAGGATTGACAAGTTAAAGTATCACATCTTGTCTGAGTAGTTCTACTTCATTAGGTTAAAATGTCATCACTTGGATTAACAAGTCTCTTGTTTGAAACTGGCAGTCCACAGCTTCTTTAAGGCAATAATAATTCTCAAAATATTTTTGATAAAGGCTACTTGGGCAAAAGACCTCCAGATGGGGACCAACATATGGCATGATGGTTACATTGCTGGACTCCCACATGGCCAACCATGGTTCAAGTCCTGGACCTAGATGGAGGCTTGAAAGTACACTGGGTGCATGTGCATGTGCTCAGAATCTTGAGAGAAGAATGAAGAAAGGAGTGCAGTGGGGCCATCCCCACTGGGGCAGGATTTCTGTCTCTTGTCTCTCCCTGTCCCTACAGCGAGTGCATGCGCCCTGTAGCAAAAATTCTCTTTCAAATTGTGTTATATTCCTTAAGAACTATTTTATTTAACTTTATTTATTTTTAATTTGACCAGAGAAAGACAGAGAGAGAGAGAGTGAGAGGGGAGATGAGGCAGTAAGAAGGCAAGTCGCCAGGTCTGGGACTCAAACCACAGTTGGCCATGTGGGAGTCCGGTCCCCCTAACCACCATGCCATCTGCTAACCTCAAACATCTCTTTAAAAAATTAGAATACACACACACATGGACTGATTGTGTAGAACAGTGCTTAAGTGAACCAGAGCCTGTATGGCCAATGGTGATTCAAATCCTGGCCTGGCACCTTTAAAAACATGCCAGGGAGGGACCAGCAGTTAGTGTAATGGCTATGTCGCTGGACTCCCACGTAGTTGACGGCAGTTCAAGTCCCGGACCCGGCGGCTTCACGCTGGGCACGTGTGCGTGTGTGCCCAAGATCCCGAGAGGAGAATGGAGGAGAAGGGATTGCGGCATGGCCATCCCCCCTGGGGGGTGATTTCTCGCTTTCT